AGTTGAATGATGTATTGATGACTCCTAAAAATCATACATATTCACGCAAAGTTTAACTAGCCTCTCTAGTGTATTGGGTAGATACGGCTGGACGAGTGTAGTAGATGAACTCTGATATTTACCAGTTGTGCCACCGTGGAAGGTGGTAATGGAATGAGTATGATACGACAATAATGAGGGTATTAGGGGAGCCGGTGGACACTTACACATGTTCAGTTGGTCAGATGACCATCAAGTAGCCACGTTAGTACGCGATAGAGACGCTAGGGGCGGCCTCGCGTCAACCTCTTGTAAAATTCCAATTATCCTCTCTCGCACCTGCTCATTAAAACTGCCCTCTCTATAAATGGCCCCGCGCCTTATGAATACCAATCACCGTTCACCTGTCCGTCCTAGAGCTGCGTTTATATACAAATTACCCTAAAAGACACGGAATCTAAAATTGTCTTCTCTTTTATTAAAATTGACACGATTGAAAGTTAGTAAATGTAGTTTAAACGCTAAATAGCATATAATAATATAAAATACTTAGTTAAAATAACTTGCATGATACATAACACATTTTAATGTTGGTAGTATAGCCCGTAAATCACCACAGTAGCAGAGCATCTTTCAATTCAAATTACACTGAGTAATATGTTTTAGCACTCGATGTAATTATTCGTGGGTAAATGCAACCAGGCAATCGGTCTGAAGATAGCACTGTATCGTTTGTATAAATGACAAACAGCATTGGATGTTTTTAACAATTGATTGTTATCGTGCATTTGCATTGACTTACCTACTTTCTCAGCAATTAAGACTGGGACGGTGGCTTCGTCTTGTAATCCAGCTATTGTAATGTATTGTAATGAGGTCACGAATTGTGGATATTTATAGGCATCCACTGTGGATGCGATACTCCCTGGTGTGGTTTCACGTCCGCACTAGTAAGTACTACGACTATTCACAGTACCATCCTGATAATTAGACCAATTTGTTAATTACAAGAAAAAATTTCGAATTCCACTTTTAACTGTAGGTCCCTTAGTTCGACTGGCTGTATTGGATCTGAATTAACATCCGTGTCTAAGGAATATGTTGGCCCAAATCACTAACAAGTCTACAAGATTGCGCCACTCATACTATACGGAAATTTGGAAAACTATGAAATCCAATATATATATACTATAGTACGAGCTATTTCTGTCTGTATGTCTCTAATACAAGTGTCGAAATCAGGCGAAGGATTTTTTTCGAAATTTTGGAATTAGGGACTTCTAGCCCTAAATACGTGATTGGTGACAGACAGTACCTGAGGAAAATTCGTATTCCGCTACACAACTCATTTGAAAATTAAAAACAATTAACATTGGCCTTATGGGTTGCCAAGTAACTATGTTTGTTGAACAAAATATCAAAAGAAAATAAAACAAAAGACTTGTAACATGTGTTTATAACTAGCCATCCACAGTATACTAGCAAATTACAAAATACAGTACAAAGGGAAAACTCAGTTGTAACTATTAAGCAAATATTACACTGAAGATATTAAATGGGGTATTTATATGTATCTTTATACTGATAATACTTTAATACTTTCTTATTAAATGGCGACCATACAAAGTAGGTATTTTAAGCCGATATACATAAGTATATGGGGTAAAATAGATGGCTTAGTCCCCCGGTACTTTATTGAGTAAAAGGACTTAAATAGTTATGGCACAGCAAGTGATATTATGACAATAAACCTTGAGAGGCATTGTGGATCAGACACATTGATGTACGACACTTGAGGGTTGCTAAGCTGGACATGACATGTGGTGGTTGGTGTTTGGCGGTAGTGGCTGTGTAGGTGGTGACTGGCTGGACCATTACACAATACCACGTGACCAGATATCAGCTGATTGCATCTGAGCTCTCCTGCCACCTCATTACAGATACTAAATTGATATCGATTACAGCGGAGCACCCTGACCTTGTGAAAGTATCAGAAGATTCGTTTGCTGTTACGTACTTCAGAGTTAATTAGTGTAATTGAATTGTCGTAATTGGTCGTTCAACATTCGGTTCCATGGACAAACAGTAATTGTTCATAGTTTTGTTTTAGACACATTCCGGATTCAGTTTTGTAATCCTGTTCTCAATAAGTATAAACAACTAATAATTTAGTGTATTGAAGTTTTTTGTACGATTATTGGTTACAAAGAAAAAAATTTTAACTCCCATGTTACTCTTATAGAGATAAATTAACTGTTGTAGTTTGCTTGTTTATAAATAGATATTGGTCACACTTGACAAATCTATTTATTTTATACTAAGCTATTAATTTTACAAAACTACATTATTAACCTACCTGTATCAGCAAACCTAAATAGATACCAGTTAAACCTAATGTTATTTAAATAGGGAATAAGTAAGACATGGTCAGGGAAATATTTAAGTGAAAATCCAACTATGCAAATGGAAATTCGATTAATCTGCAGGTTTGCTGTGGTGAGGCTATTTTAAATTTATTTCGTATCTATTAAGTGCACAACCACGATTTAATATACTACATCATCAAATTTATTTTTTAGCCCCAAAAATGGTTTAGTTAGAAATTGCTTTGCTAAGCGTACAACAACGCTTTAATATACTAAATTATGTGTTTTAAAGATTTATAACATAATTTGGTAATAAATTGCGAAATTATGTTTTAGGGGTAAAAATTAGGAATAAATAATGTCCCCTCATAAATCCTCAAAAAAACCCAAGTCCCACATCCCGATCATACTGGTTCGTGAACTCGTTCAAACCATCGATATGTTCAAACAAATGGTTGTACAAAAAGCACTGTTTATTACATTTCCTATATACTAAGTACATCTTTTAAATAACAAAAAAATATATGCGTTTTGTTTTTAGAATGCATTGTTGTCAAATATGTAGAATCTATATAAATAAAATTAGAGTTTTGTCTGTACATTGCTTAGAATAATGAACTTTTTGGTTATTTTTACATTTCATAGGTCAGAGAAACCGAATCAAACCTTATCTCAATTTCTGTCTGTCTGTCTGTCTGTCTGTCTGTCTGTCTATCTGTCATTCTCTTGGTAACGCTAAAATACGCACTTTATTACAACTACTCCTCAATAACTATAGCACTGTCCCGCCTGAAACTTATTTTCCAAATACTATACATATATGAGATGGTTTTAGACGTATTTCATCGAATATGAGACAGTTAGATATTTAACAGTAAACCCTTGAAAATCAAGTTTTTGTCGATTTTTGACGTGGAATTTCTGGAAGCCCATGTTAACCTTATGAGAAATGAAATTATTGAATCTTAACAGCTGTTTCAATTAAACAAGTTGGTTCTGTTCTGTGATGTTCAATAGCATTAAAGTTACAAGGATTACCAACAGGGTGCAGCACTAGCACTATTATTTCTTTTACATTTATGACAACAGCTAATTTGCAACCTGGAGGCGAGTGAGCGTAGCGAACGAGCTAACCTGAAGGCAAGTGAGCGTAGCGAACGAGCTAACCTGAAGGAAAGTGAGCGCAGCGAACGAGCTCCAACATACAGGTGAGTGAGCGTAGCGAACGAACTTCAACCAGGACGTGATTGAGCCATGCAAACGAGATCAGATAGTAAAAATAAAAGTAAGCCTACCGTTATAGGATCGACCGGCAGACACAGAGGTGAACTTCAACCAGGACGTGATTGAGCCATGCAAACGAGATCAGATAGTAAAAATAAAAGTAAGCCTACCGTTATAGGATCGACCGGCAGACACAGAGGTAATTTAACCTTTTATTGATTGTCATACCGATCCGGAACAACAAAAAACAACATAAAATGAAGCTATGTATAATAGTTTGGCCAGCATATCTTAAAATATGCAAACCAACTGCTGTTCGTTATATAAGAAGGTTTCAACTGAATATTATAAGATCCCCGTGCGTAGAACGGGTACACAGCTAGTTGTAATTAAATATCATTGCATGTGTTGGAGGAAAAAGAAATAAAAGTATTGCCTGAGACGCCTATTACCCTCGGGGCGCCCTGAGTATGGTTATGGTTATACTGTAAGCTTAGTTAGACAAGGACAAAGAAACTGTTAGTGCTTCTTTCAATCATTATTTGCACAACAGAACCAGCAGACAGGAAAGTGTGTTGCATATTGGCAAAATAGTTTAAACCACATAAAAACCGCCCAGGTTAGTAAATAAACAATATAACTTTTTTGATTCGATTGTGGTGTAGGTGACCACGGTCAAAGAACTATAGACTGTCGAATCATGGACTTACGACAACCCATCTTGGTGTTGCATTAAAATGTAACACACATTTGAAAAAACATAGTTAATCTTAAATTGCATTGAAAAAGGATTCAGCAATGCATCCGAAATGTCCACCGTCATAATTAATTATTGTGGTGATCTCCCGAATACCAAGATTCTTTTGTATTCAGTTTTATTTATTGGTCCCAAATACATTTGGGTACTTTTCAACATTTTATACTAAAATATCTCGGGTAATTTTAATATAACCAGTTATCGTGACTCGACTGGGCTATATGGTTCCATCAGAATAAAGCAATTTGTGTAATAATGGCGTATAATGTGGCCATTTAGCGGGGGGTGGAATGAGACATTAGCGGAGGGTGGGCACTCCACGTACACCGAACAGCTGATGACTACACGCGGCTCAGTCCTTGTGATCATACCGGCTGTGCTCCCATATTTATGGGCATATTTCATTATCTACGTGGAAATTAATAATTTAACCCTCGTTCGCCGACAACGCACGGAGCTGCTCAAGAAGCAAGGCCAGCCTAGAGAACAAGAGAGAGAGAGAGGGCAGCTTGTCTTAGCCATTTATGTTTAGAAGGCTAAAAAAGGTTTTGCACACACAAAAAATGTTGATACATATTGTTCTATTTTTTGCATCGTGTATGTATGCCTTTAAACCAACCATGGCACTAAATAACTGTAAATATGGCTCACTCACGGATGTTATTATTTTTCAGATTTGGTCCCAGGAACCTGATTGAGGCTTGTCCCAAGATAGGTCTTCTAATCGACCTCACCAACACAACTCGCTACTACTTCACACAGGTTGGTGTTGGTGTTATCTTGTACAAGTGATTTCTGTGGTAGTGTTGTACAGTAGTGGTAGTGCTATGATGATGCAGCGGTGGCTGCACTACCAGCCGTCGCTCCCACTGTCCCACTACGCGGAGACCGACTGAATACTAATCACTATTGGACTGCCTTTAATACCCATTACAATCGCCTCTGAGGAACGATCGGGTTCGGAACGGTTGTAATAACGCATCCAATTACAATAATCGACAAACATCTACTTGTTGTGAATTATCCCATAAATTTGTGTTATAAGTGGCGGCTGTTGTTACACTGACAACTTTCAAGTTGTGTAGTTGCTAAAATCTCTCTGTCTACAGGTTTCTACTTTGAAAAAAGTTATACCCGTGAGATTGTACCAATCTCTTAAAATTCCAAATTTACGATCGATTTCTGCGTTATAGCATTGACTATTGGTTACTGAAGTATAATGTAAAGCTGATAATAATATAAACAAATATGTTTTTCATAATAATAACATGAAAAACTGTAATGTCAGTTTGCAAATACACCTAGACGAACATTTTGATATATAATATGTGGTGTTAAATCTTAAAACAGAAAAAGCCTTATTGTTCACAAAGTTTAATGTAGCGTATTTATAATATAGATTATTATCAACGAGACATTCTTAATATAATAATAAATTTATCAATTCACTGTGTGAGAGATGATATCTCCAAGATATATTCTTATCCTTGACTTACGTAGGCATAGCAGACAAGAGTGATAAGTATCGGACAGTGAAGCTGCAGCAAGTTTTGTCAATCAGATGACACTATCAGAACGAAATACAGTAGTCGATGTTACATGAACAAATAATTACATCTGCTTAAAGATCGCCATACGCAATAAACAGAAAGTAAATCAACAAACTGACTGTCTACGTGCTGATAAATCATGAAAGCAGTATGTTCAGACCAATTACTGACACAATTTCATGTTATTGATTTCTTGCTACTTTAAGCTGCACCCAAGTGCAAAATTAATATTTAAATTTACTATTTTTTCAGGAATTCACCGACGAGCGAATTCAGTATGAAAAGATATACTGTCCAGGACAAGTGGTCCCACCGAACTCGATAGTCAAAAAGTAAGCTTAGGATTAAAATCCCGTAAAATGTGGGTTGGGATTGACATTTTAAATATTTAAAATCGATTTTTTTTATCTTACATTGTAGGTAACATTGTAATCTACATCTTATATAAGGTAATTTAGATATCATTGAACAATATCAAAAGTTTGTGTGGATTACTCCTACTAGTTTACTAGTCAATGTATGAAATTCTAGTTTCCTAACCCTTTACGTACTGACTCGCCAAATTATGAGTGCCTGGTGCGATTTTAACAGTATTCATTGGTGTTTTGAATAATTTTTAACCGGGCTTTCCTAATTCATCTTTTTTAGTATTTTATCATAATGTTAAGGCGTATCTGGATGCAGTTTTTATTGCTGAAGGTAAAACAAAACGTTTTAAAAGCAGTTTTGTTCCCTGTATGGTTATAACCACAAAGGAATTCCCTCGTCTGTGTGAAACCGCACTCACTGGCTATTCAAAAACTACTACAATTAATAGTTAAATATATAAACTTAATGTTTTAAATCCTCTCAGGAATATCCTATAGTATAGTTTATTTAATGTGAAATAGTTCACCCTTATTAATTCATAATTCAAATTTAAAATAATAGTGTTTGTATTATCTTTGTATAACATTACACCATGTTATTTCGTTGTATTTTTCGTGTTCACTCCGTGGTAGGCTAGTTTTCAATGTATATAATATTTTGAATTTATCAGAATAATTAACACCTAGAGTTTATAAGATAAACAAGTTGATTTTATATAGTTGCAATAAAAGTAAGTTGTTATTGGTTAATATTGGCTACCCTCTCAGTATTTTATAGTTTGTTGTTGGATATTGTATGGTGTATACTGTACACTGTTGGACAACCAAATTCGTGGAGGCAATATATCTCGTTGGGTCGTGATATCGAGATATGGGTTAGCCGCCGCGCCGAGTGATTTGCTTTGACAATATGAACTGTTAAGTATGCTAGGCGAATCAAAAGCATCTGTCACAAGCGGTTGATTACGATTTATAATGGCAGGCCCACGCGCCGTGCGCCGTGCCGACCTCACCGAATTATAGGCTCTATTCATCACCTAGTTGTACACGTTAATTGGGATCGGCTGGGATATGAGGCGGAATGCGGTTCATCCTCTATGGCGACAGCGGACAGGTTACCTTACTGGCTTATACTGTGTCGTGGGGATGAATGATTGGTGAATCTGTGTACACAGTGTGGTAGCGAGAGTGCGGCCAGTGCGGCGGCGGCGTGGGTGTGTGACCCACCGTCACCGGCGACCACCCAGCACGGGTATCGTTAACATACCTCACAGATATGGCACGGCTAACCCATTTTGGCGACGACACCCGACCCTGGCCCCGCAGCCGGTCTACTGTTACACATGTATAAAGTAAACGCTTTACATGGGACACGAGACGCCCACTTTTCACACCTCTCGGACGATGTCATTATTAAGGCTCCGGTCTCAACTCCGCAGATAACCCTGTTTAGACCTGGGTAAATTAAATTAACGTCTGCCTATTGCTAGTAGTTGTCGTGATTTTCAAATCTGTACCATATTCGTGTAAAATCTTCTTAAAATTAAGTCTTTATAAAAATATTAGTGGATAAATTTTAATTCCTAAACAGATTGACAGCGTACAGTATTAACAGCATAAAAGGTATCGAACCAGATCGTGGGAAATACAAGATTTGCTGCAAAGGATGCAGGCGAAAGATCAAGCAGTTTATTCTCATCTCTCTATACGGTTCTCGTTTGCATAAGACAAAAAGTACAATCGATGTAAACTAATTTGTGTTTAGTAGAGGACGGGTCGTTTGTAGTACGCCAACCGATCCGTGTATGTTTTGATTAATTGAAGCCAAAGAGGGGTTTATGCACGCGACGACATCAGATACTGGGGAACAGCCGTGTAAGAGACGACCGCGGCGACATAAACTAGGGACCGGCAACCTGGCTTGTCCGCCACGGTGCTGTGGACTACATCCCTCTCTCTCCATCACTCAAACTCTACTTTCTGTTCAAACTCATATGACTTTATAGGCCATTATAGGCCATTCATAGGCCATTAGCATTTTAAAAGTTTTTTTTGTAAGGTAACAGTCCATATCTTGGTCGTGTTACTATCTAACGTCGACCTTTTATGTAGATAGCATGATTTTGATATCTCAATAACAAATTACACCTGGTTTTACCCAACGAACGTAGACAAATATTTATTCATGGACAAAATATCGATGGTGATGTGTTGATAAAGTGTATATTTATTTGAGGTTTCAATATTTTGCGGTATAGCTTCCATGTTGTTTGGAGGACCGTTCCGATGTAGGTGTAAAGTTCCAGTTAGAAAGTGCATAGGAATTCTTATGATCACTAGTGCAAAGTAATGGTTGGGAAGTTTCTAGGAAGCGTTCCGAAGTACTTATGTAAAAGCTCCGGATAGAAAGTGTATAGCAATTATTATGAGTACTGGTGTAAAAGTAATGGGTGGGAATTTTCTAGGAAGCGTTCCGAAGTACTTAAATGTAAAAGCTCCGGCTAGAAAGTGTATAGCAATTATTATGAGTACTGGTGTAAAGTAATGGTTGGGACGTTTCTAGGAAGCTTTCCGAAGTACTTACGTAACAGCTCCGGTTAGGAAGTGTATAGCAATTATTATGAGTACTGGTATAAAAGTACTGGTTGGGAAGTTTCTAGGAAGCGTTCCTAAGTACTTAAATGTAAAAGCTCCGGCTAGAAAGTGTATAACAATTATTATGAGTACTGGTGTAAAAGTAATGGGTGGGAATTTTCTAGGAAGCGTTCCAAAGTACTGATGTAAAAGCTCTGGCTAGAAAGTGTATAGCAATTTTTATGAGTACTGCTGTAAAGTAATTGTTGGGAAGTTTCTAGGAAGCGTTCCGAAGTACTGATGTAAAAGCTCCGTTTAGGAAGTGTAAAGCAATTATTATAAGTACTGGTGTAAAATACTGGTTGGGAAGTTTCTAGGAAATGTTATGACGTCCCGGCGAAAAAGCATCGGTCGAGAAGTTTTTAGGAAACGTTTGGGCGTCCTGATATCAAAGTACCGGTTGGAAAGGATAGCGGATGTGACGGTAATAGGATTAGGATTAGGGAGCGAGTCGAGCATTGGTTGTAACTGATAACGTGTTAGTCAGGGTGTCGCTACGCATGTGTATGATGGCTCACAACTCAACACTCGGGAATTGTTAATATTTGATTTTATTAGCTTATGATTAATCAATGTGGCCACTGAATAAGAGGTAAAATTAATTGTGTGCTAGGTGTCAACACCATACTGCATTTTAGCATATTTCGCATACACTAAAGTTATTAAAATAGGAATTTTATTGAATCTTGCCTAGTATTATAATATATTCCACTGAAAGTAGGCCTATTTGACTTAACCGTGTTTTGTGTTTATTTGTGACTTTTCTATCAATAGGAAAAAGGTGATAAGAGTAGTTTATTTGATAAATATTGCAATTATGATTTCAAAATAATGATTATATAATTCCAAATGAATAGCACTTCATTATGTCATGATTTTAGGGATTGTCCGTTTTATCCGACCTTTTGAGTTATCCGACCTAGGTCCGGTCCCATTAGGGTCGGTTAAGAGGGGGTCTACTGTATATTGAATACGCTATTACCGTAGGTCTCATGGTAAGACCTAGACCCGGGACCGATTTACTTTTACGTTTTGAGGTCCCCCGAGCCCAAAAACACATTCCGTTCAAATATATTGATAGATGTGTCCATCATCGCAATAACTCGAGCAAAAATCAACCGATTTGGATTAAATTTGATAAATACGTGCAAGTTTGCGAACCAGAATAATCGAACCATGGGAACGGGAATTTATGGGGGGGGGGATTAATGGGGTAAAAATAGATTCGGAAAATCCCTTAAATTCTTACTTAAGTTGTGTACATAAAAAATATTATAAGACAAATTAAGATGAAAAATATTGAACCTCCTATTGAAATTGAACTGAGGACCTCTAAATTAGAAGTTGTGAACGCTAAACGTAACACCAAGGGCGGTGAGTTGACAAATGTAATCCAGTAATCTAACACGAACATTTTGGTAACCTGGTGATGTTTGCAAATTTTCAAAAATAAGAACTGTTAATAAATCAGTGATACTGATGACATAAATAAATAACTGCTAAATAACACGACGAATTGGGATACCGAGACCAAATAAATGTCTTAACTCTCACACAGTGATCTATCAACAATCATCAGTGGTGAAATTGAGTTTGAATACTATGCAAAAAGTGTATTATAATATTCAATAACAACAAATAGGGCCTATATTTGTCGTTTGAGGGTCATTTATAATATTGTTAGAAAATAATGTGCGTATGTTATTTGCAAAAATGCGAATAAATCCCCCACCCCAAAAAAAAACCGCCAATCCACCTTTTTAAAACGGGCATTACCTTTGCTTCAAGAATAAGTTCAAAAGAGTCTTATTGCATATTTAAATATTAACTTGCAAAGAAATTGTATTATATTAGTTATTTGTGCAACTAGTGAGAAAAGTGAGCAATTGACGAGTGAGGAATGGTTTCTCGAGTGAGGCAATTGTACTTTGAACTCGAGTTGCACATTATACTTTTCCTACCAACGTATTTCGCGCGCATACGACGTTGCCTGCAGGTTACGCGCTCACTATTTCGTGCCTTCACGTTGCAAATCTGGAGTGAGACAAAGTAATTAGAGTGAGACAATGTTAACATTGTCTCACTGATGAGCGAATTGGCCACTTTGCTTTCTCAAATCAGTGAGAGAACATGTACATTGTAAGGTAACTGTAGGAAAAATATTTGAATTGGTGAATATGCTGGTTATAAAAATAATAACGTGTAATGTATGCTGTAAAAAGAGTCATAATTGCTGCTTAAATGAACAAATTATACTATAGTGTACCACCTGTTAATAAATTATAGATATATTATAAAAGCAGATTTGGATAAATGGCTTTGAGCACCGA